TAAAAATAAGACAAAATAAAGACATTTTTTAAAATGATTTCATGAATGTATTAAAAGAAATCTGTCTGGAGTTGTTTCTTAATCAACAGAACTGACAAAGTTTTAATTCAGTTTTTGGACTTCACTGTTTACGGGAGCGCATCTCCACCGCGCATGCGCACTCTGCTCGGGACGAACTCAATATGGCGGCGAAGAGCAACAGTCGGTTGTAGCAGTTGAGGTTTAGCATCTAGCGAGCTAACTGCCCACAAACACGTAGATTCGACCGGCGCGGGACTCTCGTCGCTTCGTTTAAAGTCGACTCGTTGACGCCGGTGTCGTTGTTCAGTTGTTGTTTTTTTTTAGCGGTTCAGTGTTTAAGATGAGTTACACCACGAAGGTTGTGCAGGTGACGAACGTGTCGCCGAGCACAACATCGGAGCAGATGAGGACGCTGTTCGGTTTCCTGGGGACCATCGAGGAGCTCAAGCTGTTTCCTCCAGAGTGAGTTGACCTCGTGCTGGTTTGTTCGTCCACTGATGTGAGAGGTTAGATTAGCTCACACGTTAGCTTGGTGGCTAGCTCAACATTTGAAGCGGGACTCGGGCCCATGCTAACCAGATGCTAACAGTAACAGCACCGACGTTAGCTATGTTGAAATCCATTATACTCTCACTTGATCGTTATTTACACACGTGCACACACTTCCAGTATTTAGTCTCTTGTTTACAGGCTTATCCTTTGTTTTATTATATTTAGTATTTTACTGTATATTTAGTATTTTACTGTGTATTCCAGTACTTTATTGTGTTTCGATTACTCAGGACGTATGTTCAGTCTTTAGGGCATTGTATGTTTATTACATTCAATTTTGAGTTCTTGTAATTATCTGTTTTATTGACCTGCTGCTGTAACACAATCATTTACCAATCTGGATCTAATTTCTCCAGATACACACTTTATTTTGACATCATCTATAAACAGCTGTTAGAAATCTCAAGTGAAAAGTCATCCCAAAATATTCTGACCCTTTTATTTACATGGACATTAATCACAAACCAATAAATGAAATAACGAGTGGCCATAGCATGATGCCATGGTGAATTGAATTTGCAACGCTCCAGGGAAGATACAGTGCAGCAATGAATCGTGCTCCCGGTGTTCATGATATGCGAAGCTCATAGGTCACACAGCTAGTTGTCTTTTTGAATATGAGTGAAGGTTTTTTATCGTTGCCTTTCTTCTGGTTAGAATAACCACATCTATATGTCTGTACTGGGTGTGGATATCATCATATTAAGGACACACAATGCATTTTCACTTCTCACACACAAACCACATGGATGTGATTGGACAACATTGTGTTGTTAAAGTGCCTTGTTTGCAGCGTTTACCTATTTCATTTAAGACTTTTGACTTCCTCAACAGTGATTCTCAGATGCCGGTGACGTCACGGGTGTGCTTTGTCAAGTTCCAGGAGCCGGAGTCTGTCGGAGTTTCTCAACATCTGACCAACACCGTGTTTGTGGACAGAGCGTTGATTGTGGTCCCGTTCGCTGAAGGTTTGTCTTGTAATAACTCTCACGTACGAGTGGTCCTTGTTGATTGAATGGCATGACTCCTGACTTGTGAAAATGTAGAAAAGTAAAAACAATCTCATCTGCGCCATTTTTGAAGTGTACAAGTCAACTTGACTCTTATATTTGAGATAATGTGAATAATACTGGTAATGCTCCTCCCTCCCGTTGTTTGGGGGTGTTACAAGCAGACATTTGCAGATTTTTGGTATCCTGCGGTGGCACATGCTGTAAAACAATGGTTTGTTTTGCACATAGAAAACAGAATACCAAAGTTTTCTTTATAGACTAGCAGTTGAGAATTCTCAAACTGTGGGCGCTGCGGACACCTCAAAGTTCAGAAGTAAAGTTATTACATTTTTAACCACATGTATTTTATCCCCCCCATATTGGACTATCCTGTTAAACTTCTCTCTGTTATTTGTGTGTGTGTATGTATGTATGTATGTGTGTGTGTGAGTGATTTTTGTAGTGAAGAAGGCAAAAGCAGCCCCCTGATGAAAGTGGTCCTCTGCCCGCCAACAGGGGATTGTAGACATTTGCAAAGGCCAACGAGCATTCAAGCCCCACCCCTCTCCTTCTGTGTCCTCTATTCTTTCTTTTCCCTCTCTTTTGTCTCTTCTTCTCTATAATTTATCTTTTCTAGGTGGTTTAGTTTGAGTATAAAGGTCAAAGACTTAGCCTGGAACTGTGCTTATTCTGCACTACTATACAACACTTCTGAATGTTGCTGAGCCATGAATTAAATTTATGGCTGAAGCTTTGTTCCTGAACAGATGAGGCTAGAAATATTCTTCACGCTTTAATGTCATCAAATTCTATGAAAAGACAAAAACACAATTGTCCTAAAACTCATGTCGGTGAACCACACTGGGTGATGATAAATGCTGGCACTACAGTTTATTTTGGGTTTAAGCCACAGGCACTATCCAGCTGCTGTAAATATTGGTGCTTGTGCACCAAATTTGTATTAATCTGCCACTGAAAATAGTCCCCTATCACCTTCTGTTATACAAAAAACTACTACAGCTTTTATATTTTTCAGAAATAACTGATCTTTTTTTTAAAATAAAAAATGAAACTATATATTTGCTGGCATTGAATTGGCTTCAAGCCACTGACAAGATATCCACAGACTGATTATTTAGGACAGTTTGGGTGTTTGCAAGTATTTTAATCTGCAGTAACTTAAAAAGACGATACACCCATCCTTTTTTTTTTTTTTAAATGTTTGAATTTACTTCTGAAATAAAAACAGAAGAACAATCACTTATATGGGTCTGGTTGCAAAAGGCGAAAAAAGACTGTGTTTATAATCAGTTGTGTAAAAAACACAAGTCAGCGCCACGAGTGAAGGTAGGGATTTAAAAAGGGAAACAGTAATGTAACGGTTTAAACCCATCTCGTCATAAGTTGTTCAAGATACCCACCCACCCGACATGACACAATGTTGGTACCATTTTCTCTTTAACAGTGGTCTTCTTCTTTTGTTGTTGTGTTTTACAGTTCTTTTTCCTGGCTCAGCCAGTCCTGTATACCAGGCCCCGCTGAAAATACCATCCAACAGTTTTGTCTCCTGCAGCTATTTCTCTCTCCAGTGTGCCTCTTTGTTTATATGTTGTCATTATTGTGTCTGTATCTATGTGAATGAGCAATTTCTGCTATGAGATGATTGTGTGGTGTTTTTATTTGTTAATTTTGGGTCATTTTGAAATAACATCAGAAGCATATTACAAATTTAAAAAAAATCTTGAACTGTTAGAGCAGATTAATCAAACCAGTCATCCTCGGTCCATGTTTGGTTAATTGATGCAGTGACAGCAGGTAAGGATGATGTAAAAGGGGACACTACTTACCCTTAATTCTGTTTGCCATTTAGTGAATCACACACTTTATCCTCTGAAATGTGTTTTGGTAAGTAGACACTGATAGCTTGTATAGTGTTTTTCCCCCCAAATCCCTAAATTTCTCTTTGTTGTGTGTATCTCGATTTTTCTCTGTGCTTTTAGTAGCGAAGCCGCCAGCGTGAGTCGCTTGTTTCAGTAAACGTCTAAATGAAAATTGAGGGCACACCCAACTGGAGAAGCAGCAGTGCTTGCTAACGTTTGGTTCATGACTTAAAAAACACGTTCAGGTGATATATTCTTGGCAGTGTTCATTGGACTAGTGTGATTTATTCCAGCAATAATTTGTCACTGCAATGATTTTGTTGAATTAGGGAACTCTTCTCTGATCTGTAAGGTAACCATGTTGATCCTAATTTGAAGAAATGCAGTGCCAAGACTTGTTTTTCTTTGTCTTCAAATTGTGTCTCTGCGGTTTAATGTGTTCTCCCCTAATGCCTGATTTTATTTTCCTGTTAGGATCTATTCCAGATGAGGCTAAAGCTTTGTCGCTGTTGGCGCCAGCAAATGCCATCGCAGGAATTCTGCCAGGAGGAGGACTTCTTCCAACGCCCAACCCCATGGCCAATCAACCTGTAAGACTTTATACTCTTACTTAATACTTCTGTGACCATTGGAAAATCAAATGTACAGATGATTCGATAATCTTTTAGTTGAGCAACAGATAAATAATAAATCAGCAATTTGGATAGTTAAAAAAAAAAGAGCCATCCTCTGTAATTCCTGATTTACTGCTTGTCTTTGTGAATCCCAACCTGGGACTCTGGACCCTTCCTATTTTTCACAGAAGGGGTTTGTGAGATGTCTCATGATAGAATGATTAAGAAAGAAAAACTGTTCTTTGAAATATAAAAATTAACCCCAACTTTGGGATAGTTTTACCTGTCCAAGCCTAAAAATATATTCAAATGACAACAGTTGATAAAACAAACAGAGAGACATGAGCATTTCAACAGGTTAATGAAAAATGAAGGTCAATACAAAAAAAGGGAGAGCTCAGTTTTTACTGTCACTTGTTATTTGTGCAGAATATAAATCTTTTGTGTGATGATGGTTTGGTACAGAAACAGTGAACCATGACCACATCTGTCAGTATCATTATTTATACCAGTGTGACAAGAACACTTGTGAGATTTCAACATCTGAAAAAGAAGCTTACAAAACAAAATCACCTCCAAAAACGTCTTATATTTTTCCTCCAGATGGGAGGGAACCCTTTTGGTCCGACCATGGACGCAATGGCTGCATTTGGCTTCGCAGGATCTAATATGAATCCTCAGGTGAGACAGTGATCAGTATTTTTTCCTAAAGATCTGCATACATTAATATGCAGTACATTGGATAATACACCCCCTCATGTTGGCCCTGTCTCTTCACAGGCGGCTGATCAGCTGATAAGGTTCATGACAGATCCAAAGTACGTTTGTATAAAGAATCTTCCTTGAAATGCTGAAGTAAACATTGATGTTTGCAGTAATGAATATTCCTGTGTTTAGACTCAACCCTCTGGCTGCAGGCTTAAACCTGAATTCAGGGCTGAAGGCTGATACATCTAATAAAGAAATCGAAGAGGCTATGAAGAGAGTGAGAGAAGCTCAGTCACTTATTTCTGCTGCTATTGAACCTGGAAGTGAGTGGAAATAAAGTTGGGATGACTCTCTTGCTGGGGTGTCGGCTTAGCATTCTGAATGTGTCTGTTTTGACTACACTGGATTTTTGCAGTCACGATTAAGGTTACTGTTTTTTTTCTCCTTGAAAATCTTTGAAAACAATGTTCTTTGTCCTGCAGATAAGGAGAGCAAGAAGAAGCACTCTCGGTCCCGGTCGAGGTCCAGGAGGAGGTGGTCCAGATCCCGTTCAAGGCACAGGTGAAATCTTCTATTAATGATGTAAACAGTTGAAAGGGGAAACTTTTCAAGCATGCGAGAATGTTAAATGGTTTCAATGTCTGTTTGCAGGCGAAGCAGATCAAAGCGCAGATCAAACTCCAGAAGCAGGAGGCGCTCCAAGAGCCCACACAGGAGACGCACCCGCTCCAGAGACAGAAGCAGGCGATCACAAAGCAAATCCAGGTGGATCAACTGTGTAAAAGGCTGAACTTGAGCTCTGTTTTCCAGATTAACCCTCTGTCAGAAAAATGTAAACATTCATTTATTTTCAGAGATAGAAAGAAAGATGACACTGGGCGAAGAAGTAACAAAACACCACCAAAAAGCTACAGTACAGCCAGGAGGTCACGCAGTGCGAGCCGGTGAGAGCAGACCTGGTTCTTCATGTCCTCCAGCACAATTTAGTGAAACAGCTCCTCTGCTTCCAAGTTGGAATACAGTGTTGACCTCTGTTCATTTCTTGTGCTACTCAGGAGACACAGGAGAAGTCGCAGCAACAGTCGAACTCTAAAAAAGTCTCCTAAGCGGAAGAGCTCCAGGTCTCCATCTCCTCGGAGGTCAGTGTGCGATGTGGATTTTCTTTCCATTAGGTTTATTTGAAAGTAAATGCTAATTTAACGCTGGTCTTTTTCAGTTAAAACAAAGTGTGTGATTGTTTGATTTGGTTTTACATCTGTAGTTCTGTTCATTCGATCTTGACCAAGGAGAAAATATTTGCAAATGTTTTAGCCATGACCCAGTTTATGTTCACACTGAGATTTTACAAATAAACCAAGAGGAATAAAGATGAAGTCATGCAGACTGATGGGTCTGGTTTAGGCATTCGTGTGTATCTTTGTTCCACAACAAATTAACTGAACTAGAGTTAAGCTTTTCCTCTCCTCCTTCTACAGACACAAAAAGGAGAAGAAAAGGGACAAGGAAAAGGACAGAGATCGCAAAAGTGATAAAGATCGTAGTCGTGAGGAGCACGATCACTCCTCCAGCAAGAAAAAGAGAAGTAAAGACAAAGAAAGAGAGTGGGAGAGGAAATCAGATGGTGACAAAGGAGATGTTAAGGTTGGTTATAGGATCTTTGATTCTAATGCACCGTGATTTTTGCTGGTTGGAAGTAAACCACTGGAGATGTTAATACTTCCATGGGTTTCCTGTCACAGATCACCAGGGATTACGACGAAGAAGAGCAAGGCTATGACAGCGAGAAGGAGAGGGAGGACAGGAAGGATTCAGACGACTCCGCTCTGTCTCCTCGGTCAGTCGAAGGTAACGGCACAGCGAGGTCCGTCAAACGGGCCAAAGTTAACGGTGCTGACGACCATCGTGAAGAAGACATGGATGTCAGTGACTGATTAGTCCGTCCTGCTTTTTTCCCCCCACATAATCCCTCTGTTTTGGCTGTGAACGTGCTACTTGTTTTCTCCTCACTGGCGTTTATCTAAAACATGAAGTTTGTTTGAAATAGTCACTGACGGACTGTCGGTCTTTCTCCTGCGTTGTCACGTTGCTTTTAAGTACCCGCGGGTGTTTGGCCTCGACGGATGCAGTTAGTTAAACTGGAAGTAGGCTTGCTTTGCTTTCTTGAGCTTGTGTTGAGACTCTTCTTCATATGTTGTATCTTGACTTGTTTTGTTCAGTGACGTGCTGTGACGCTCAGGCCTTGTTCCCCCATATGTTTGGAAACATTTGCTTATTGTCATTTGAAAGTGTTGATGTTTTATCAGGGATTTGTTTTTATAATAAAGCCTATTTGGAGAACAGAGACTTTGATTTCACCACTTTAACCACAATCTGGGGTGCGTCATATGGGCAGTATCGTCTGTATACTGTTTTATATAGTGTTAATTGTGCCTTTTTAGGCTTAGACGTGGAGGGAAATTCAGGGGTTCAGTGTTTCGCCCACCCAGACTGGAGAAGCCAGGGAATCGAACCAATGATCTTTTGATTAGTGGACAACTCAGTTATATAAATACCTGACATCTAAAGCGGGTCTGGGTTTGTCCTAACCCCTGTCACATTATCAAAATATTAAATGATAAAAGTACATTTTCTTAGAAAAAAAAAATACCAGTGTTTTTAAAAACCATGATCTATTTTGTACTTGTCATGTATTAACATTTGATTTTCCTGTTAGTACAGATGGTTATCTTTGAAAAACCCAGAGGAAACACCTGTAAATACTGTAACACAGTTCACCAGAGAACTACATCTCCAAAAATGATTATAAAGTTAAATCAACACCTCCAAAAACATTCTCGTGAAGGTCGGGTTTAATGCAGGTCTGTCGTATTAAATGCATCAGTCTTAGCTACCTGATTGGTAACCAAAGAAGAGTGTGTATTTTATTACCTCCTCCAATGAGGCTATTTTTCACCCCTGTCCGTTTCTCTGTTGCTTGGCTGGGTTACATAAAAACTACTTGATAGATTGCTGCGCAACTTGTTTGAAGGAAGCGTTATGGGTCAGGGGCTGTTTTATCACTTTATCATCACGAGATACTTGGGCATTTTATGAAATCTAATGATTTTCCACAGAGCAATTCATGGATCTTGATGAAAAAAATCTGGCATATTTAGGGGACAGATATCCAAGTGTGAAAGTTGGTGAAGCTAACAAATGTACTTGTCTTTACAATGAAGCTTCATTAAGTGTCTTTTCATCATACTTGCACAAAGTCAGTTGAAACATGATGCTGGTGCTTTATTTAAAGGGATGTGAAGTAGGTATGGTTGCAGTACATATTAGCTGAAGCCAGAGACAACTCAGTGGATCAGATTATTTCCCATCTGGGCATTTTTGGGATATCCAGCAATATCAACTTCACAGCTTAGTTTACTCTCCTTGGATGTAAAACAAAAAAAGAAATTATAGACGACCTTTAAGGAGAGATTTTATAAGCACTAAAAGGTTTTTCAAAGTGTTAGTGTTACAATTTTTCCTTTATCTAAATACCAAGAAGTCTGCAGGTAATATAAGAAACGTTCAGAGAATATATCTTAAAGATGCATGTGATCCAGTCGGCCGACACAGCCATTAGCATGCCTTAAATATACTTAATATCAGTGCTGTATTAAACAAAGAACAGTTTTACCTGATATCCCATCTGGGTTCTCTCCCGCACACGAACACACACACAAGAACCTTCGATACGTTACAATAATCCATTCACACTTGAGCACAGAAGTCATACGAACATGACGGACATGGAGACAGCTGAGAGGTAATATGAGCTAACCTGAAAACACAGGAGGTTGCGTCCTGCGCAGGGAAAAGGCTTGGATACTGGACTGTAAAGAATGTGGGGTTTTTTTATGCTAAACTTTGTCCCAGCTGGTTAAAAACATTCGTATGTACTGGAAACGTATTGCTACACAGTGTTACTCCTTTGAGTTTCTATCTATATCATTTTATATATATTCATATGTATAATTCATATTACGTAAATCAATATTAAGCTCAGTTTGAGGTTATAGCTATATTTTTGATTCTCTCAGATGAGGCGTGTACTATTTACAGTTGACAGTGTCAGTGCAGTGTCATAAATCAGAATTGAGTCCGTCAAGTCCATGGATATGAAACATGAGCAGATATTGAAATAATGACGATGAGGAGTCCGGTTCTCTGACGATGTTCACAGGAGACAGCAGCAGCGCTGAGCAGCAGATGTAACAGCGAGTACAATGAAAGCTAAAATGACTGCTGTTACGCATTTTTAAACACACGTGAGATGGCGCTCTGTAACATCTGCTTGCATCGGTTTGCTTTGGATCCATCGACAGAAATGAATAAGTAGCTGATGACAGTAACTGATTAATAAGACCAGCTCAACAATACGGGATTCCTTTTTTTGTGTTTCCCACCTCCCCAAAACATATTTACTCGCTGGTCACTTCCTGTTCGTGTCAGGGGTGCTGTACTGGTCAGAGGTCTGGGAAGCGACTGGGATCCTCTTTGTATTGAGCAGGGATGGAGAAGATTGACTCTTCGAATTCGTCGTAGCGAAATTCCTGAAAGGTAACGGTGGCTGTGATTGTGGGGAAGACAGGGATGTCTGTGAGAAAAAGGAAGCAGAGAAGAAGACAAATTAGATTTTGATGGTTCTCTTGAAGCTCACAAACACACCGAAACCAGTAGTGGATCAGTGCATACTCACCAAGTTTGACTGGAAACCCAGGCGGAAGTTTCATCTGAACAAACTCTCGGAGTTTGTTGAAGTGCTTGAACGGGGCGATGACCTCCAACACGTTTAATAACCTGGAGGCAGCGGAGAGCCAGTGAGTCAGCAGTTCATTTTAGCCATAAAAGCTCAGACAACACAAAGGAGATTATCTAGGAGATCTTGAGTAAAGAAAAAATACTGTTTAAAAAACATTCATACATTTAATAATGTAAATGATTAATTGATCAAAATAGTTGATTCATTTTCTTTTGATGGGTTAATTCATTAACTGAATAATTGCTACAGTTTAAAATGAGCTTTAATAAGGGTATTGAATATTTATAGCTTCATAATTAATGCTGAAGTTTTTAGTTAAGTCAGCAATCTCACACTAAAACTCTATAACCCAGAGCAGCTGGAAAAGAGTCTGCACATTAACACGTTTTTCAGACTTGAGGATCTGATTCTAAAGAAAACAACATTCGTACAATGGCTGCATTGGTCTCTTTTTGGTAACAACATTTCTAAAAGCTCAGGATACAAAGGGGAAACAAATCATATTAAAAAACCATTAGCGACTTTAAAGGATGAAGTTTTATAAAGGTTCATTCAGTAGAGGAGATAAAGCAATTTACTACATTATGTCCTGATAACGTTTTACAGCACTGCCTGTAACCCATTATACTGTAAACCACATCCTGCTTGAAGCTGAGCTCATCTACTCAGCAAACCATGCCTTTTTTCTCAGCTCTTGTTCGTCTCTCACATGAACACTTATTGACATTCAGGAGACCATTCTGGCTGCATAAAATCAATACACAAATGATTTGCAAGTAGCTTAAGAAAAAGGGTGTTAATGAAAGAAATGTAAAATTTAAGTGCATAAATATTTTCAGGATGAGTTTTTACTGCAGTGGTCCAGGCCCCCTGCTAGACCCTAACATCTAATACATGTTGAATTACATTAGGTTACATAAAGTCTGATTGTTTATTCAAATAGTGCCCATTACTCTCCCGAGGCACAACAGACAAGATGTGGTCCAGTGCACAAACTCTTGTTGGATATGTTTTTGTAGCTGTTTCTGGATTTGGTAGTTTGTGCTTTCTCTCATGTGAATGCTCCGTCCTTCAGGGAAACTGGATCTGTTGATGTCAGCATTGACAATCCTGTATATGTCAGGTGTTGACATTTAAATTTATGAATTTGGCCAAAAGCACTGATGCACAATCTGAACCACAGTAGATCAAGGAAATACCATTAAGAATGAGTGTCACTGCACTAATTCTTGGGAACATGAAATCCCCTAGAACTAATTCAACAAAGTACATGACACAGTGAATAGGGAAGAGAAATAATAATATATGTTTTATTTCTTTCCTCTTTTACGTGCCAGGAAGTGGGCATAGTGTGTGTGTATGTGTGTGTGTGTGTGTGTGTGTGTCTCTGCTCCTCTCCCTGTTTTCTCTACAGGTGAGGTGGGAGAGGTTACTTCCTCTTCTAATCAGAGATTGTCCAACCAGCAGTGAGGGGGGGGGGGTCTACAAAAGAGCACACCTGAGTCTTGTTCTCTTTGTTCTCTGTGACCTCAGTCTGTGTGCAGCACTCTGAGCATTTGTTGTGTTGTTATTAGAGCAAACTTGTTAAAGTACAATGATAGATGTTGTAGTTTCCTATACACTCACTCATGTAGTGACTCTTTTTTGTTAAGAAACACTCGTCACTTTGTTGCCACCTTTGTATTGATTTCACTGAAGTGAGATAATCAGCTTCAGCCTTTTCTTTGTGGTTTTGTTTAAGAGGTAGTAAACAGTCAGGCCTAGTTTTGTTGTATTTATTTGATTTCTTTGGCAACTTCCTTTGTTCCTTCTTCCCCCACATTCTGTGATTTTGACTTATTTGTCACATCTGCTCTGACACCATCAATTTATTGGTTGTTGTGCTATACTGTCCTTTACTCCTCGTTCCACCCAGGGGACGCAACAGCCTGAGCACAGCAAACATCATGGCTTTGTTGGGTTGAATATTCAATTAAAAACACAGACATGTTGTCATCGCATGGTGGAGCAGTTGATTTTGCAGGGGTTCTCATCGGGGACTCACTCAAGTAAAGTCCTCATGTGTACCTGGCCCAATTATATGATCTGAATTATTTCATCTCCACACTAGCCTTTTTCTAAACTCCCCAGTGTATGCAAGTGTATTCACCCAGGATCAATGCGTGCAGAAAGCTTTGTAAATAGATCTGAGGAGGTAGGGATGTACTTACGACTCGATGCCTAGAGGGAATTCCTGGCTCATGGCTACAGTAGCTTTGAAGTTCTTCTTGCTTTCCTTGCACATAAGCTCTCTACCAAGATGAGGTGGCCTGGAGGTGGGAAGAAACGCAGACAAACACAAAGACATTGCTTTTGAATTTCAAATTCAGAGTTAATACAATTTTTCTTGTAGCTGCCCTGAATAAATTCCTAATCACGGTAAGGTCTAATTAAATCATAGAAAACACCAGATGCTTACTTTCCGTGCTCTGCTGTGATGTACTCTTCCCAAGAAATTGTGTTTGGGGCTGGAGCTGTGAGCGACTGCCTCCTCACAGGCTGGGGACAA